CCATCTTTGATATGTGGAGAAAACTTTCTTAAAAAAGAACATTTAATGGATCACATAAGAACTCACACAGGTGTTGTGATTCTATAGTTAAATTCTATTCCCAGCCCGCTGGGAATTTATGTTTCTGATACTTTAAGATGTTTATTGCCCTCCCCGGTAGGGGTGGTAAAATATCTTATTTAATCAGATATTATTTCAGCTGTTATCTACTGTTTATGACACACAGTCCTACTAACTGTGTGTTAGAACAATAAATGAAAGGGTGATTCGAGCACTAATCATGGTCAAACAGTTATTTCTGCACATACATGGAATAAATTCGCCACAACTTCTGTTCAAAACATAAGATTTTATTAACAAAAATCATTCAGCTCCAAGTCAAACATATTTCAGTTTAACACTCTCAACTAAGACTAGTAAAACTCAACTAAACTAAACTAACTACTATGTACAAAGAGGAAGGGGAAAACGGTTGAAAAACATATTACAGTTTAAGATGGATTCTGTGTTTGAAACCAATGTTTATCTGGAAGAATTTGGAATGTGATCAAATTAGCTTTTCACTAATTTTAAAGAAATTGGAATGTTTTCAGACCAATTGACAATGCAAATCCATGAGGTGAATAAAACATTATTTGGCCAAATAATGTTTTATTAAATGATTTGCTTAATCAAGAACCAAAAACCTTTAGTTAAATGATTCTTTACCCTCTTTGAAATAGCTAGCAGCGAAGTTTCTCTGATTTTTGGAGGAAGAGATTTTATGAAAACATGGACGCTTCTAGCTGTTGTTTTCCAAATCAGCTTCAATTTCTCACGAGAAGAAGGAAATGGCAAGTCTTTTAGACAGTGCTCAACTTCTTGCAGATAATCCATTATGTTTGAGTGTTGACTTTCTGGGTCAAAAATATCAATGTCTTTGGCCAAGGATTCAATTTGTTGAATTCTATGGTCACTCGGTGGACCTGGCCCGTCAGGAAGCTGGTTCTGCTCATTAAGTGGTGGGGGGTTTTGAGCTAACCTTTGATGACACAATGGAGACTGGTTCTCCTCAGAGTTTTTCAAGGTGTGAACTTTGGCACTTGATGCTCGGTCAACGGAGTGTGAGACAGAGAATGGTGTGCATGGCTGTCCTTTGCAAAATTTTAAACCGCTTGAGTTTACCAAGTGATCTACTTGTTTCTCTCTGTCTGCGACACTACTTTGACTTTGAACATCTTCAGATCTATTTAGTGTTAACTCAGAGTTTAGAGACTTTGTATCTGCTTCAGGAGCTGTTCTCCTTTCGACTGGGGTGACCTCCTGCTGATTCAAAGTCTGCTTGCTTTGTTTATTGCATAGGTCCTCAGAGAGGGGGGTCACCTTTTGTTCTGAGGCATGGTCAGTCTGGCCACATGGGTCTTTGATCTTGTCAGCTCCTGACAATAAAATGTTTGCAGCACTTACTCTGTGGCAGATCATCTGATATTTGGCTTCTAACTCAGAGTACTGTTTAGCTTTTATTTGGGATTTAAGCTGATAGAGTAGCGTGAGCTCACAGAGTACATCTGTTATCAGAAAGTTTCCATTTGGGTTTTGAATTAAGTTAATTAATTCTTGAATCTTTTCTTCACATAGGCTGAGGTTAAAATTGTTTAGGTTATCCTGCTTTTCTGAAGATAAGTGGATAAGCTTTGCAACAATTTGTTTCTGTTTCCCTATGCCTATGGAGTCAATTATGTGCCCAGAATTGAGGATGCTTGGATCCATTTTCAGCTGATGGCACAAAAACACAAGTTATGAAGAAATTTCAAAAGAACACAATCCAGTCAGTACCCACTATACTCGTATATTTACATATACATATTGTAAGGACTTATTTTTATGTGTGTAGAAACGGGTCACAGGTTATCTTTAAACCTGTGATATCAAAGAAACACTTTTCTTTCAGTGTTAGAAATGCTACACCTTGTTTAGGATTTACCAGCTATTTTAGCGCATGCTTTACCTGTCTTTGAGGATTTATAAGCAGTTTGGCGCAAAGCTTACCTTTTAAGGACTTACAAGCAATTTTGCATATGCTTCACCCTTTTCTGTGATATCAAAGAAACACTTTTCTTTCAGTGTTAAAAATGCTATACCTTGTTTTAGGATTTATTAGCTATTTTAGCGCATGCTTTACCTGTCTTGGAGGATTTATAAGCAGTTTGGCGCGAAGCCTAACCTTTAAGGTTTTACTAGCAATTTAGCTTATGATTCACCTTTCTTTAAGGGTTTTTTAAGCAATTCAATTTGAATCCACCCCCTTTTGGTCGGGTAGGACCACAGATTAACTTACGTTAAATCTGGCAACAAATCTTGTTCTACACAATATAAAATAAGTGTTTAGGAGTCTTATCAGACTAATAGACTAAGGGATTTAGGTTAAATTTCGAGGCATCTAACCTATTTTGGACTGGAGGTGACTTTGAAATAGCATAACTTGGGAGTTTTCATTTTTGGGATGTGGTTATAGAAACCACAAATGGCAGCATCTAGTTATAGATGTGCATAAAATTTGGTCGAACAATAAGACTAACTTGGGAGTTAAATCTTTTAGTTTTAGTTGGACCAAAGTGATCAGATTGATTTGAATCATCTGAGTTTTGCTTTGAAGTAAAGTTGGTTATCACTAGCTGAAGAGATATTTTGGAGTTACTAGATTTAGTTAAATTTTCTATATTTTGATGCTCCAAGAATGTCAAAGGTTATATTTTCTTCTCATATAAGCTAAGACATTTAGTATTGGATTCTTAAGTTGTGAGTTTAAGATTTCAATATTGAGTGGTGAGAGCTGATGTTAATGCTTTCACACGGTTTTCAATAATGGTTTATTCTCATGTATGTGCAGAATGACTGTTATATTCGATGACCACCAAACTGAGACACCAATTAAATGTTACATTCAATGAGCCCAGTCGCATGGGACGCTAAATAAATGTTACAATTAATGGGCCCAGCAATCAGGGACGCCATATTTATGTTGTGATTCTATAGTTAAATTCTATTCCCAGCCCGCTGGGAATTTATGTTTCTGATACTTTAAGATGTTTATTGCCCTCCCCGGTAGGGGTGGTAAAATATCTTATTTAATCAGATATTATTTCAGCTGTAGTAAAACTCAACTAAACTAAACTAACTACTATGTACAAAGAAGAAGGGGAAAACGGTTGAAAAACATATTACAGTTTAAGATGGATTCTGTGTTTGAAACCAATGTTTATCTGGAAGAATTTGGAATGTGATCAAATTAGCTTTTCACTAATTTTAAAGAAATTGGAATGTTTTCAGACCAATTGACAATGCAAATCCATGAGGTGAATAAAACATTATTTGGCCAAATAATGTTTTATTAAATGATTTGCTTAATCAAGAACCAAAAACCTTTAGTTAAATGATTCTTTACCCTCTTTGAAATAGCTAGCAGCGAATAGACATCAGGATTCCACTAAATGACTCTTGGTCATACTTGGTAATGGAAATGTAATGAGCATCTGAAGAACACATGAACACTAATGTTATATCAGTGTTTAAATCCTTAGTGAATAAAGCTTGTCTAAGCTTTAGCAACAGCTCAACATATATTCCTGTAGCATAGCGTAGCATGCAGTCCATTCTTTAGCATCAATTAGCGTTGTCTTTACTCAGCAGTAAACACACGATATGATTAGCATCATCAAAAGACACATTGCTTGTTCTGTCCCTAATCATGCCAGACCTGCAAACCTTTTTCCATGTCCGTTTGGAAAGCTTGAGTTTCATCCAGTTTTGCAGCTCTGCAGTCAGGGGTTCTTTGTCTCAGTCTCACAGCAGGGGTCCCCTCAGTCTCACACCAGGGCATGCTCCTCGTCCAGTTTGGCTCTGTAAGTTCTGAAACTCAAGAGAAATGTGTTGCAAAAGTTCTGTTTGCAGCAGTTAGGTTCTGAAGAGTTCTGACTCATCCTTGATGGTTCTGGGGATCTGGTTCCCCTGGGGCCTGCATCTCCACTGTGGGCCACAGTGGGCCCCAGCTTTGAGCGCAGGAGCAGAAGCAGGCTGGATCAGACGAGGGAGAAAAAGTGAAGAGGCAAAAGAGCGAGAGACAGAGTCCTGTATGCTCTGTGGTTTTGTTCTGCCCTCACAGAGGGGGGGTGGTGGTTGGTCACACCTCTGTGACTTCCATGTGGCTGCTTTGGCTGAAAAAGGGGGGGCTGCTGAAGTCCCCCAGCTGTTATTCACCAAAGCTGTGTTTTCTTCTCTGGTCATCCTATCAGGATGAAATATGGACACTGCTTCCCAATGTCCAATAAGTATGTTCATGGCATATGGCACAACATAGGTAAGAAGATTTATGAATGTTTGTCCTGTGGAAAAATTTTCATAAAGAAATGTAGACTTCAAAGGCACATCAGAATTCAAAGCCACCTACAAACATCTTAAAAGCTTTCCTGTGTTATAGCGGTTCATCAAAAAATGAAGGGCTATTCCGCCTCTTTTCTTGCAATCTTAAGTGTTGTTAATCTTCCCTTCTTTAAAACCTATAGCAATCAAACCTTTTAAACCTGGTTTATATTTCTAAGTAGGGCTGGGCGATAAATCAAATTAAATTATTTCATGTTTTTAAAAGTCCACAATTTGACATTTTGCCATATCATTAAATCGAGGAAGTCTCTTCTTCTGCATTTTTTACTTGCACGTTTGCTTCTCTACGTTTTTCCTCCTTCCGCCTGATAGCGTGCTGCTCTGTTTACTCACACCATGGCCGATGCTCAATCTGAAGATTTGCTACAGAGAAAAGGGACTCGTGTTTGATCGATTATTTGGAAGTTGTTTCGGCTTTGACAAGGCCGATTTAGAGCTGTATGAAAAGTTGGTTTGTTTTTTGCAACTACTGCAGACCTTTGGTCCAGTGGATCTCTTCAGCCGTACATGAGTGTAGCTGTGTATTATATAAACATGAACTGGGCTCTCAGCAGCTGCTGTTTAACAAACCACCTACTTGCCAGAAGATCGCGCAGCCCTAATTCCAAGATAAAAACTGAATTTTTAAACCTCCCTACTTGTTCTTTGAAA